GATATTGTTAATCGCGAAAATAATTTCATTTTTTTAGAGTTCTTTTCCTTCAATAATTAATTTGCTTTTTAAATATGATCTAAATGTAAACGGGAAATCTTAATATTGATCATTTATGAGAAAATCTTTAAATAATAAGAAGATTTCCCATTCTTTGAAACAGGATTCTAATATTATTCTATCTATTTAACTTAATTAATTATTTTTAAGTTAATTAAGTTAGATGACTGCTTATTCACTACTATGATTCATCTAAATTAATAATCCTTTTCTCAGGTATTCACTCCAAATTTAATCTGGCTTTAAACCAAAGTTAAAAGAATTTATCAGCTGATATAATTTCTATTTCGTTAATAGTGGATTATATTATAAGATTTTTCCAATCATTTAAACCCAAAGATAATGATATTTCCAAAAATTTGAATTAATTTACAATTTTATCATGTATTTCTTCAACTTGTAAAAGTATTTTCGTCTAGACTTTACAATTTATCTTCCTTAAAATAACTTATTATTTCCCACAGCAACATATCTATTTAAAAATAAACTTCAAATTATTTTCTTTTATTGCTTACATCATACAATTTGTAAAGATGACAGGCTCCCTGATACAATGATTCAAGCAATTCTTCATTTGGCTTCATTTTAAATTATCGAACCAATAATACCGCTTAGACATCCTTTTAAGATTTCTTCCCTTTCATTATTATTATTTGGCGAGATTTCGAAAGAAGTTTTTGTTAAGAAAAGGTAGAATTCGATTTAATTTTGAATCAAATCGTTCTTCTCTATTTCCATATGTTACCTTAGTTCATCAGATAAGTCCAAAAATTCCTGTTATAAATCACATTTCATAAATCTCTCCTCATTTAATATATGGAAGCTAAATATTACTTTAGATAGAGACGCAGTTGTCTATAATATATATAAACACTTAAATTAATCTGTTCTAATGTAGATCAAACAGCTTTTCAATAACTTTCTGATTCCCTCTAAAATTAAATCGTATGATTTCACTACACTTTAAGCACTTTTGTTAAGTTTGTAAATGGTTTCTTCTTAAAAACTAAACCATTGTATAGCAATCATTATTTCTTAATTCTCTAACTAATCAGCAGCAACAACAGCCTTAGTGCAAATTATATCAATATAATAAGTAAATTTTTTAAAGAAATTATAAAGATCTTAATTATGAGACTTTGAAGTTTCTGATTGTAGTGGGTTTATTTTTGAAGTTCCACAACCGCCTCCTCGCAAAATGGATTCCAACTAAGACATTTGAGATAACATTTTATCAAATTTTAAATAATAAATCCACACCGGTATGAAATTAATAAATAATTAAATTAATATATTTGAAACTGATTTATAGAATATTGATATTTTATTCACATCTCTTTTTTTTTTTGAATATACCTCCTTCTGTTCAAAATTTAAAGAAGCTTTATTCTTATTTGTTTCAAATTTGGCTGATGTAGAACATGGTCTCACAATTATAATTAATAGTTAATTCTTTCTTAACAAATGCTGTAAATTTATTGGAGGATTATTGTTCTTCATAAAATTATTAATTTCTATCCTAAATAAACAAAAACATCATTCGACTGTTATAATTAAATCTAAAAGAAAAACGAATGCTGCAGATTTAAACAAATTTCTTAAAAATTCTTTAAATTAAAACTATAACAATGGATGGACAATCAGCCTTAATCACCAATTAAACCAAATATACGTGAGTAATATATGTGAATAATTGGTTTCTTTTTACTATCTTAAAGTTTTTATGAAATAAATGATTGATCCCTTTTTGTTGTTGCTGTTATTTTCTTATTTTGTGATTTTATGATATATTGACGGATTAGTTTATCCTTCATAAACAATTTAAGATTGTTAATCATGAATTAAATTTTGGTAATTTAGATTTACTCTCACCCATAAATAATATTAGTATCAAACTATAAAATCTACATGAAATATGAAAAATTCTAAATTATTATTAGATCAGAAACTATCCATCTACTAAGGGTTTGGGTTTGGGTTTGGGGTTGGGGTTGGGTTTGGGTTTGGGTTTGGGTTTGGGGTAAAAGG